CCCCCCTCCCGCCAGCTGTTGCCTCGCGCGCGCCTTCCCGCCGCCGCCTCGCGCTCCCGCCGCCGTTGCGTGCGGCGCGCGCTGCCCCGCGGCACCGCCGACGGTGAGAGATGGGGGAGGGGGTACCGTGGGCACCCCGGCCTCAACGCGGGGGCAGCGCGGCGAGAACCGGGGCCACCGGGTGCCCCGCGCCACTATGGGCGGGGCCGAGCGCGGGCCGGCGGCCAAACACCACCGCCCCCGTCTGGCGGGGGCGGGGCCGGGGGCGAGACGTGACTGGCGGCGGCGCTGCCCAACGAGAGCGCGAGGGAGGCGGGGCTGCCGTTTGACGGACGGCTGGAGGGGCGGAGGCGAGGCCCCTGTGACAGACAGACCTCTGCACCAATCGGCGGCGGGGGCGTGGCTCAGGGCAGGCCGGCCTCGACGGGCGGTGCGAGCTCAAGGGGCGTCCCCGGCGGCTGAGGGGACGGGAGGCGGGGATTGACTTGAGCGACGTGGCGGTCGACCAATAGCAACAGGACGGCTACGGGCGCTGCCCAATGGCAGGCGCGGGGCGGGGCAGGAGGCGGGCGAGCCCTGAGGCGCAGCGGGCGGGGAGGGCCCGGCCGCCCCTCAGCCCCCTCAGCCGAGCGCGGGCCCCGCCGACCGGGGGCTGCGCCGGGACCTGCGCTGCGGTAGGTGACGGGGGGTCGGGGGGACCTTCCATCTCAGGGAACCCCCGGCATGGCCGGGTGAGCGGGGCCTCGCGGGACAAGGCCGCCCGGCCGAGGGAGGGGCCGAGGTTGTGAATAGCAAAGCTGTGCTTAAACGGGGTTTTAAACCGGGCCTACCGCGGTATTTCTTTCTAGGTGTTAAATTACTCGTACCTACTGAATAGGTTCAAAATGCTATCTAATCACGTTGAAGTTCTGTTTAACTTGGTTTCAGCATAATGTAAATTTCAAGACTTTTTTAGGCGATGTTCAAGGTTTAAATCTAAATGTAATCTGTGTTATCATTACTACTGCACTGAATGTCATGTGTAAATTTCCCTCCATTTAATTTTTTCCTTCTAAATAGGACAGAATTAGCTCTCATAACATCCTGATTATGCAGATCGTCCCACCAAGGTCAGTGATGCTCCTTGATGTTTCTCATCACTGAGAATTCTCACTTCCTAATTATGTGGGTCCTGTAAGGTGTCGAGAGTTTTTATTTTCACTCTCTGCCTTTGACATCCCCAGTTCTCACAGAAGAGCCAGGTCAGACCTGTACCACAGCTGCATCTAAATTTTCCAAGTGCTGCCCATGGTGTTGGGATAGCTGGGCTCCAGCAAAGAGTCTGCCCATCATATCCTCCACCACAAGATGCTTCATGTAATCAAACCCCCCATCATATTGTCAGCTGCACACCCAGCTGTCAGTCTTCAAAATTTGGTAGTTTTCTTTACTTGGGCTTTAAGATCTCTCAAAAGCGCACTTGGATTTTCTTGAGCTTTCATCAAAAAAAGCCTCTAAAATTGACTGGGGCTTTGCAGTCCTGTCTAATCTTGCAGTAATATCTGTTAAGTCAGAGAAAGGCAGCAGAACGTCCCATGTTGAGTTTTCTGCCTCTACTTTTTACAGTTGTTACAAAGTGGTCCTGAACACTCGTGAAACTGATAATATTTTCAAGTGAGCAACCTTAAAATTGAGTAGCCCCATGTAATACATCTTCAGTAGCTTCCCATTTCCTCCAGAGACAGGTGATAGCACCTTCTCTGAGTATCTGATAACCTGATACCTCTAAGAGTGTTGAATTTCTTTTTTCCTTTCAGGCCTAAGTTTCCAGTCTGTTTCTTTGGTTTCTGCTTTCTCCAGTTTGCTATCAAGAGAGCCTCCTTCTTGCAGTGTTTGTAGCATTGATTTCTAGAACTGGTTTTCAAAAAACATTCTCATGAACATTGAAACTTCATTTCAGATCACAACTCTTCACTTCAGCCGCAGACTTTTACTTGAGAATACTGGAAGTGTTTTCAAAATACTGGAAAAGCTTCAGGCAGGACATAGTAATTGTTCTGTAATCCTCTGCATCTGCCAGCTGGTTTGGGTTTGTTTCTGTGACAAGAGCAGAACAAGGCTATCTAAACTTCCTCTGATTTTTTTGTCCCCTTAGCAATTGACTCTTCAGTGCCACTGCTGAGCTTCACCTCTTCCCTAAGGAAGGGGAGGGTGGCAGTCTTGGTTCCACCCTGCCAGTAACCGGCTTTCATGAGACCCTTTAGTGTTCTGAGCAGAACTGAGACTGTGAAAAGCTAATTAAAAACCCTATTTTAGACTCTTTTATTTTTGGCTAGTTCAGCTGAAGGAACTGGCCTGCCTTGGGTCACACAAGTGTCAGCCACAACACAAAATGGGGACGCACTCACAGCAACTCCAATTTTAGGCAAAATTGGATCTTTTCCTTAAAAGAAATCCTACTGCTATCCTGTAAATCAAATCCATTCAAACCTCAGACCCAGACTGAACAAAATAGTAGATCTGTTGAACCGTGTATCAGAAAACGCAGATGTAAATTGTAGGATAATTTTAGTGATGTACAACATGGTTATCCCCTCGCTCCCAGGCGGCAAGTCACCTCCTCACCAGCTGAGACAGCAACTTTTACTTCCCTCCTTCCGGATCCAAAGCTTATCTGAGCACAGAATTTGTTCAGCTTACTAATCTGGCAAAAAACTAACCTAGTTAAAAAGGTGGTAGTAGATTTCTGCTTGTTGGGTGAGTTTAACAGGCTTATCAGGTGATGTTGTGAGGGTTGGTAATAACACAGAGGAAGGTGCAGCAGCTTGTGGGCAGGGTCACTGAGGGGACAGAGGGGAAGCAGCTCTTGTCCTTCCCGCAGCATCTGGTGCTGAGGATTAGATGCTTCAGAACACGGCATCTCACTTTCAGTATTTCAAATATTTTTGTAATCTGGAACAAATCAGAGCTCATTTTCTTATTTCAGGTGAAAGGATGTCAGTGTTGCAAAGGGAATTATTAAATTTCTAAACTCTAATTTTTAAAATAATTAAGAAACCTATTTCAGCACCATTTCACTGGTATATATTAGTTATTCATCTTTGTAGCATGAAATCTAGATCTCTCACAGGGGTTGTTACTTCTGCTTCTTAGTTGGTTTACATTTTACTGTGGTTATTTTGTTATGTTTGTTTTCAGGCGTTAGCTGTGAGTGCCTCAGTACTGGTGGAAGATGGATCTAAACATATTCTTAGCATTCAAAAACCCCTAAATGAGTCTGACAGCTAGTTTAGGATTAAGGCACAGTTTGTTTCACAGACCAAATTTAGATTAAGGCAGTTACATGTCTGACTTAAGGCTCTTAAAGGGAAGAGGGGACTGGAGCAAACAGTGTTTAGCTGAGCATGGTAGTTACAAAAGAAGTGCCAGGAAACAGTGTGTGGGTGAGGTTGGAAGGCAGGGAAAGCAAGAACCAGAAATTGCTCTCCTTTAAGGAATATGCCTAATGGTGGTGTAGTGCCATCTTTTGATGCCTTCCCTCCCCCCTTTTGGTCAGGTTGTTGCTGACAGCGAAGGCCTTCCTCTTACAGCTGTTTAAATGAGAATGTCCCTGGCGCAAAGAGTACTGCTGACATGGCTTTTTACGTTACTCTTCCTCATCATGCTGGTGCTGAAGTTGGATGAGAAAGCACCATGGAACTGGTTCCTCATTTTCATTCCAGTGTGGATATTCGATACAATTCTCCTAGTTATGTTAATTGTAAAAATGGCTGGACGGTGTAAGTCTGGCTTTGACCCTCGGAACGGCTCCCAGAACATGAAGAAGAAAGCCTGGTACCTCATTGCAATGCTCCTGAAATTGGCCTTCTGCCTTGCCCTCTGCGCGAAGCTGCAGCGATTCACCACCATGAAACTGGCCTACGTGTTCATCCCACTGTGGGCCCTGCTTATCGGCGGGATGGTGGAACTGGGATACAATATCTTCTATGTACGAAGAGACTGAGCTCTGCCAGGTGGTTTTCAGCCCAAGGATTGGCACCAAATTACCAGAATATTACCATTTTGCCATAAATTTGCTCTTCAAACTAGAAAGCCAAATAAGAAATGGGTCAAGCTGGAGATTTTATCTAAAGCAGGCTGAAGACTGGAAGTAGACTTGTTCCATTTTTTTATTTTAAAACTATCACATATGCTCTTGTAAATAAAAGTATTTGTTCAACATAAGCTGTTCTAGTATGATTACTATTATTTGTTACATGGAATAAGATACATGCAGGTAGAAGGTCTTCTCAAAGGAACCACAAATGTTGTACCCAGGGTATTCAGCACAGTGAATAATCCTTGGAAAGAGGACTAACATTTTCTGCTACTTATGCTATAAGTCAAGAAACAACCAGGTAAAATAACCAGGTAACAGTAATTTCCATAAGGAGCGTAATTTGCTTTAACAATCAGTAACAGTTGACAGCTGCCAAATAAGAGCAAAAAAGGAATAAAGTGACTCAGTTTGGTTTTTCTTTTGACAGTGAGACTCCACTGCCAGTCTAAAAATAAGCACTATTTCCTAAGCTACTGAAACAGCCAATAACCAGTATGTTAACCGTAGGGAAAAAGGTTAGTAGCTGAACTGTGCAAGCAGTCCTAAGATCCAGAAAAGAGAGAGACAATGGTGATTCCTTTCCAAGTGAGAAATCCCCAGTGCTGCAAGAGTCTGGAGCCACAGGGTGAGTTCAGTGCTGCATTTGTACCTGCCCAAAGTGGTACTTGAACAAGACAGTTTTCAATGCCCAAGGACAGGAAATCTTTGGGGGTGAAGCATTGGATTTATGGAGCAATGACAAACTCAGACGTGAGTAAATGAACTGTTCAGGGTAACAAATGAACAAGTGGGAAGAACTGGAACTATGAGCATATTTTGTGGACTAAAGTGCTCTTCCAGGCACTACAGTAACACCAAATTCAAATGTAGCAGTTGTCTAGGACATTATTAACATGCACACTGAAGGTACTGATCCATTTACAGTTCCTAGAGACAAAAGAATGTCAAGTGAATGAAAAGAGCCCAGGAAAAACAGTCTAGGGTAACAGGACATGACGAGATCAAAGTGTCTCACTGATAAAATTTTAATTATGGACACTCAATGTACTCCTCTGTGGAAAAAAAATCCTTCCTGAAGTGTTTGGATTTACTCTTGCTGTTTAATCACACTGACATGGGTAAAAATACAGGGGAACCATATTGGCAGATAAAGCTCTTTCAGCAGTGTCCAAGAAAACAACATGCTCCACTCTCAGGCAATGGATCTCAATTCAAAACATCAGGTAACAAATGATCTTTAGAAAGAATTTAAGTCATCTTTGCTTCAGCGTGGTTGACCTTGCCGAAGGGGAAACAAAGAAGAGACAAAGACAAAAGAAATCTAAACCACAGCCATTGTCAAAAAAGTGCAAAATATTTATAACCCCTTTATTGTAAGCAAATTAAAAAATAACACAAACCCATGGACCCAGCCCTGGGTGATGAGCACCAGGCAACACACACACTTACCTTTGGTATGGTATGGGACAAAGCATAAAACTGAGTGCTCACAGTCCTTCCCCATCCGATGATTCTCATAGAATAAAAATCCAAAAAGCCTTGTTCACAGGATGTCAAACACCCCCACACTGCTCAGAAGAGCAGAGCAGCTTTCCTCAGCCAAGCTGGGAATGGGAACTGATTGTTATAACTTAAATGATGGAAGAATAACAACTGGCCTCATTAGAACTTGGTGTATTATTAGCAAGATGGGCCATGAATGATGACTCTGCCCCCTTAATAAACCCCTTCTCTTCCTCAGATGTAACAATTATCTGAAAGTTTGGCATCTCTAATTAACTAGAATCACACACAGTTATTACAAATCTCCTTTTAATTCCTGCCTCTAATTCAATAGGAAAAGATCAAGTTCAGTTTTGGTTGTGGGTTTGGCTTTTTTTTTTTTTTAAGGTTTACAAACCTTGAAATAAGTGAGAGATTTTGAAAGCTGAAGCAGATGTTTCTTGCTGGTGTCATGGAGAAGTCACACACAGCCAGCTGGAAGTGCTCAACTTTCCAAGTTCCTTGTCTTTACAGTTATACTTGGACAAGGGGAATATCCCTTTTGACTTTTTTTTATCACATGTAACTGACCTGAACTGTGCCACTTTTTGTACATAGTGTTGCTTCTCTGTGACATCAGAACTTCATTCAAAAGGATTTATGATACAAAGTATACTGCAGCCCACAGTGACCTTTCCAGAAGCTGCTGTAGGAACTAATTACACCTGTTTATTACACTGTTCTCAAAGGCACTGGTCACAGCTTGGGAGTGGAACCAGTGCTCCTCACACATTTTCTTAAATTTACCAAACTGATCTTCAATTAAATTAACAGGACAAAACAAGTGAAAATCAGATTTGCTGGAGTTGGCAGGGAACAGGAGAGGCTGATGCCGAGATGGCTCACATTGCTTTGTGAAGAAGGAGCACAAGGACGTTGTCTCAGCCCCCTGTGGCAGCTGATGGGGGGCAGAGAACTTGGCCTTCAGCAGCTTTGTTTTAAACTGGAATTCAAAAGCTTGCTGAAATGAAATAGAAGTATTTATCTGTACTGATAATATCTATTGTATATGAAGAGGTTTATTCCACATAATTTACTTCTCTTCCAATCACTTAAAGCAGTTTGAACACTTCAGCATCCATTGCAGGCGAGTATCTATTCTTATCCGATTAAATACTCAATGCGCATGTGTGAAAGGTCATGAAACTATAATTTCAATTACCAATACATAATGCTTTTCTTGATTTGTCACCATTTAGAACAGCATCCAGTTTTCTGTTCATTTTATACTGGGAAAATGCAGTTATGTGACATAAACATCCCCTTGTATAACAAAGTTTAACCTGAATGCTCTAAGAACGTGTGTACACACACACAAAATGCTCTGCTAAGCATGGAGGACAATATCAGACTAAGTGGGCACAGGACTGAGGGACAAAACCAATTTAAAACATGTGTTATTAGTATTATTTTCTGACATATCTGTGTCTAGTACAGAAGCAAAATCTTTGTGTAACCTCATGGAAATTTTCACATTTGCCCAGTTTAAAAGTTGGGTGACACAAAGTGAAATTGAAAGTTAAAATTATGAGACTCCCAGAAACTCAGAATTTTAACGTCAGGTGTTTCCTATCTTAACATCAATATTATTTTGAGAACAATAACATGGCTTTTCAGTAATAAAGCTCCTGAATAACTGCATCCTCAGAAATAAGTTGTTTGAATTTACTAGCACAGAAAACATAGTACTATCATGTAACACATCACTTTTAAATAAGACTGAAGTAAAAATAACTATGCTGAGTTGGGAAAAGAGTGTTTGTACCTTTTCACTGTACCTTTATTGTTTTAGGGTTTGGATGGAGTTCATCTCCTATATGAGCCTTTTAGACCTGAACAGACCTTGCTGCTGAAAAGCATCAGGCTTTGAGAACTAAGGCAATTTAAGGAATCTCTGCAGCTGGATCACTACAACTGTTCAATATAAATTCTACATTTTCTCCTTGTATTTGTACATAAGTTGGATAAAGACTACGAAAATCTGCAACGCAGTAACGCCATTCCCTTCAATCTGCCTTTCCTAACAAAACCAACATCCCAAGCAGGCAAATATAAGAAAGGTCTCCATACAGTGCAGAACAACAGCTTAAGAGCAAGAAACAGGGAAGAAAGGAAAATGTGAGCTTAATCCATCGGGGTTAGTTTTTATCTCAGTGTTCCTTCTGAATTTCATAAAGAAACCACCGCTAAAAGATGTTTTTTAGTCTCAACTGTTTTTTTTTCCCAACTGCATCAGTCAAAAGGGCGAGTACCTGAGTGTTGTCATTGTGTGCTTAGGATAAAGCTTTAGCAGTCTTGACTTATGTTACATTAGTCTCCCACACACAGATCTAATTCTCAAGATTTTCATCTTGAGACACACAGGGAATAACCTTCTCAGCTCCATTTTGTCTCAACCAGATAAAAAGACTTCCATAAAAAGCACAGGCCTGAGCTCTACCCAACATGGCACCATTATTCTGGTGGGCAGCAAATGAAATGGTAAAAGAAAACACGGTATCAAATTAGCTACTGAAAAACCAAACTTGATAAAAATAGAAGTTTAAACTGCTGTTTTAATCAATGTTTGTATCAGATAACTGTACATCAAATATTAAAGGACTATTTAGGACTAACGCCCCCATCAGTAGGCTCATCTATCAGCATGACCAGAACAAGAGAAGATCAGTGTTTAGCTGGCACTCAAGTACAGCACAGCTCCAAAGCAGAGATAATATCAGCATCAAAGCACAGAGAAAAACAGTGGTTAGAGTATAATACACTAAATTTGCAAAGTCAGTATCCCTGATGATTCTAACAGAAACAGCAGCCTAGATATTGAGAAGTTAATCACTGCTTCTGAACAGAACACAAAATAATTTGCATTTCTAAGAAAAATGAAATGAGTGACTGATGGGAATCAGTTCCCCAAATTTTCCCACATATGCTGCAAATTCAGTGGGATCTGCACAAAATATCAGTATCTTCTATTATACAGTTTTAAAGTGCATTTCATCTGTTTAAGAAAGTAATAAAGTATCAGCTGAACACAGTGACTCATAACCAAAGAAAACATTCTCGACAGTCATTCACAGAAAAGCAGAGAGCAGTGAAAATTTGTCCTTTCCATTTCCAGCTTGGATACATCCAGGGCAAGGTACAGGCGCTGGGCTGACTAAAGACAGGCTGACTACGTACCTGCCCACTAGAAGGAAATAAGTAAAATGACACTTGAGAAGCTTGAACTTTAGAACAAGAGAGTTGAGAGTTCTTTGATCTCTTGATCAGAATGAATATAGTTTTCAGCCTAGCAGGGTCACGTGGTAGTCTACTCTCACAACAGTTTATTTTGCCCATGAGCAAGGAAAAAAATCATGATTTATTTCAGTCAATTCAGCATCCTCATTCATATGCATCCTCATTCATATGCAGATCTCAGAAAACAGTAGTTTTGATCTATGAATACCAGTCCTGTGTTTCTTGGAAGACTTATTCATTTTTCCAAATTTGTAATGTTTCAAATCTGTTTCACAGCATTCTACTACTTCAAATTTCTGCTTCCTACATCATTTGCAATTCCAACTTATTTACTGTGCACATGTATATCTGCTTAAAAATCAACTTTATTTATCACCAAGGAATTCTTTCACAGATGAGTAATTAAATCATCACCCTCTGAAATAATACTTTATTTCTAATACTAGATAGAATTAATATTTCAGTTAAAGTCGTATTGAAATATGCACTATAGTAACAAGGAAGGGAAAATCTGCATGCCAGCAGTACCTGTAATGAGAATGTTCTTTCAGAGTCAATTTGTAGGCATTTGGAGGGCTGGGGGTGACACAACACTGAGTAACACTTGAATGTAACACATGAAGTCAGTTGCCAGTGAAATGTAAAAGATCCAGTAATATAAAGAAAAAAAAAGAAGTGGCAGCTACCCCCTTGAAAGCTCTCGGTAGCAACCATAACAATGCAGTTCTTTGCTACCCAAAAATATGTACTAGGATCTAGGAAAACATCTAAATTTCTGCACATCATGTCATTAACTGGGATGCCACTGCAAGTGCATGGAGATGTCAGCACTGCCACAGTCAGGCCATAGGCCTTGGGCAGATCTCTCCAATCTGCACAAGAACAAGGGGCAAGAGAGACAACTAAAACACTGGAGATTTCAGCCAAAACAACAAAGATTTATGCATCACCAAAATCCAGAGAAAGGGCAAAATCAACAAGCAAGGACTAATTTCAGTACACCAGAAGGCATGAAAGATTTATTGCTGAAGCAAAAGTCTGAAGATGAAGTTATATGCAACAGGAATAAAGGTTATAGCACAGGACCACTTGAAATTAAAGCAAGTCAGACTAATGAAGAATTTGGGAGGTGAAATTCTCAGGACTACTCCCCCCTCAAAGAACAAACCCATCAAAATGGACACACCACAGGGAGAGGACAATACTTCTGTTTTTTCTTTTAAAAGCTGACATCTGTGAATGTAAAGGGAGGTCTGGTAGGCATTGGTAATCCCAGTATAGTTTATATGCTGTCTGCAAGGAATTCTGACTAAAGTGAGAATCTAGGCTGTCTCAAAAAAACGAAAGAAAGCATGAAAATCGCAAAAAAACTGCCATTTTTCTGAATCTCTTAAAATTCTGAAAGTGATAAAAAAATGGGTTGAAGATGTGACAGTTTAAAAGTAAAATCTCAGAACCAAGAAGTACCTGAACATAAGTTTGAGGCCACATCAGCCAAGACTACAAAGTTCTACTCTTAAGTGTAAAGTCATATTTGCTAAACCATTTTCACAGATTTATTATTTCAGTCTGGACAGGGCCTATGCTGCAGAAAGTTATCAGCTGTCCCAGGGGGTGTACACACTTCACTAAAATCTGACAGGTTACAAAACATTACTTGAACCAGCAGGAACGGTCAGCATATGCATCACCAGCACTTCTATTTTAAGTCAACTGAATAGTTTGGGGGGGTTTAAAAAGCAGTACGTGGCAAGGCTGGTTTTGCTAAAGCTGGAGTCTTTGGCTAACCCCTCAGAGAGCTTCACACTTGGTGCAAACTACAACCTGCAGCTCTGCTCTGTCACTGTTCTCCCACGGCCAGCACAGAGAACAGGAATGGAAGGCTACGTAATTGTGTACGGATGTTCATACAGCCAAAGAGATTATGGGTGGAAGGTTCCAAATAATCCAGAAAATACAAAGGGAGCTGAGACCACATTCCTACTATCAGAAAAGCTCAAATTCTTATGTGAACCAATTAATTTTTTCAAATCAGAGTCTGCCAGAGTAATGATTTACCACGTCACACATGAATTTGCTCATAGCGTGAGGGGAAAGCAAGATCCCTGAGGCTGCAAAACTAGTAGTAAATCTCTTAGCCAGCATCAAAGAAAACAGGAGTACGACTTGAGGACGTTTTAGCCACATCCAAGAGACTCACATTTCTATTGCTTCTCTAATATGTAATTATGGCTATGTAGAAGTAATGTTTAGCAATTCAAATATTGATTTAATTAGTAATTCCTTGACAGACCTATTTTAGATTAAACAAATCAGGGCACTCATCTATTAAATAGCTAATTTTAGTGCCAGGTGTGAGTAAATTTTAACAACCCATAAGCAAAAAAACATTTGCAACAGAAGGATCTCAGGTAGTTGAATTACACATCACCTGAAAATCATGTTGTTCTATTGCTACAAATCAAGCCAAGTGATCATCAAGTGCATTGAAAGTTATAAACTGGGTACATAAGGATGTACAACTTCCAGAAAGTTCTACAGAAAAATCCAAACAAAAATCAGATACAGAGGGCTTTGAAAATAATAGGCCTTGGTTCTTAAGTTTTACATACTTAGCTGAAGGACATGCTCAGGGCAGTTTACTGCTATGTGTAGCTATCTGAAAAAGACACATCATTCAGCTGTGTTTGAACTACACAGGAATACATTACACAGAGAATAAATAAGTTAAGTGACAGAGTTTTGCCATTACCACATCAGATGCTAGCTAGCCTCAAAACCCTCTTCATTCAGAACACAGCTTAAGAGAATCCAAGTGTTCCATAAGTGGGGCAGGAGAACTGTTAACTTGGACATCACCACTGTTATTTTCTTAATGGAACACCTCCTGCTTCCAAACTGTGACTCATGAGGAACCTTCCTACTATACACATTGGCAAGTATTTTTATTGCCTGGCACTATCAGCACAGGGAGCAATTCAAATCCAGATATGTCTCTGTGAATCACAGGTCACTGCTAAAGTTGAGGCCCTTGTAGCTTGATAAGTAACCATTTAAATATTATGTGTTTTAACTTTAGTCAGATTACTGATTTGAGGGGATGGTTGCTTTTTTGGTTTGTTTTGCCAGGGTTTTTTTCCATGTGAAATGGAACTGTCTTAACTGTGCCTTGAGCACGGTGAAGAGGCAGGCACAGAAGGGAGATGGCTCCCTTGCACCAGCTCCCCTGGAGAGATGCAGGTGGGTATTGGCAGCGCTCCTGGAGGCCACCAGGTGCCCCCCACAACAAGGAGGGCAGTTTGTCTCTCTGTTCCAATTCCTATCTGACAGCAGGAGTTTGGGGAGTGCCTTGAATGAGCACCTGTAAGGAGTCCTGTGAAGGGATGACTGATTCTGCATTCTGACTAATCTGCATTTACAAAGATGCCTCAGCTCTACCTCAGTTTGCTACAGCTCCTCACCCACAAGGTGTAAGGGCATCCTATGCATTAGTGCAGGTAGAAACACAACCACTTAAGAGAGGCAGTTTAACTGAATTATTTTTTGCAGACCCAAAAATAAAACCAATCTGTTATTATGAACCTTTATTAAGCGGCTCACATTTCAGTATAAATCACACTAAAAAGATTTTTAAAAAAGATATTTACACTACAGTGCTGACACATTTAAAATGAAAAAATTGGTATAAATAAGCTCTATGGAAAAGCCTGGAATTGTCAAAAAGAATTCTGGCTCATCTTACAAAAAATATATGTTAAATGTCAGCTCTACTCTAAAACCTACAACTCAAAATTATTTAAAGACTTCTTTATGTTAAACCTGCAGTGTTTACAGTGCATCTGGCCCTAAGTGCTTTGATACTTCACAGTTATGGACAGGCACTGAGGAATGTTACAAAGCTACATAACTATTTTCTGTAACAGATGCGAAGGCAAGTCACAAGCTTGCCTCACAATTTATGATCTTTACATTATTACATCATTAAGTTTAAAAAGGAATTTAAAACCATATATACAAATTTAGCACAAAAAATCATCCTCTCTTTGTCCATGCAGTTTTGGATATGATGAACTATGTTGTCTTGTATCATCTGGATGTATGTGACCTCCAGAGCACAACTTGCCTTGCAAGTCCTTGTTGCCAGGTTCAAATTTAGAATCCATTTCCAACTTTAATGATGCCAACTCAACGTGATCCAGCCTAGACTGAACATTCTGTCCCCCGACGTCATTAGGGACCACTGTCTTTTCAGCAAGATCGACATTCATGGGCTCTTCTTTTATCCGGTGAGATGCAAGAGGTTCATGTTTTATCGGCATAAATTCCTGCTGCAGGTACTTGGTCTGCAGAGCATCTGAGAGTTTGGTGTCTTCGGAGGTATCTTTGCCCATGGTACAAACTCTCTTGTCAGTCTGAAGTCCAGCAACCGAAGACTTGGGGTCTGCAGAGGTCTCTGCTTCAACAGTACTCATATTTTGAGAGAGTTCTTCCTCTGAATGGTAGAGCTTGAGCCGGATGTGCCAAGCCAAACTGCACACAGCTGAGACTGTTTTGAACTGGTGCACAACATTCCTTGGGATAAAATAAATGTCATTATCGAATAACTGGATTCTGGCATATCGGATGCCTTCCCTTCGCAGCTGATTAAGTTTTGCATCATCAACCCACTGGACACACTGCAGGGGAAAAGTGTGGGGGGGAAAAAGGTGAAAACTCTGACTTAGTACTCAGAGGACACTGATCATCAGTTCTTAGCACGCTTACCTGTGAGAGTGGAGGCTCATGCAAATCTAACTGCATTCGCTGAACTACCTCCAAGAAGTCCTCAGCATGAAAACAAATTACATCTTTGGTTATACGAGGCTGCTCAGACCTACAGAAGAGCAAGAAGTGCACAGTCAGGAGCTGAAACGAACATGCCACATAGGATAGCAAGAAATCTGCAAGCAAGGATAAAGCAAATTATTTAAATTAAAAACAAAAAACAATTCTAGCATAACCTAGATTTTTAAGAAAAAAAGGTTGACCAAAATGGCTAATTCTAAAACACATTATCATTGAATTGGTTAAACAAATTAACCACAATTTCTTTATAAGTGGCAGTAAAAGCAGCCATAAAAGGTCAACAAAACACACGATTTTTCATTTCTATTTTTAACTGACCTCTTGTCTGCCCTGATGCCGACACACAGATGCCCCAGATATGCTGGGCTTACTCTGTCAACACTCCAACATGATACTCCCATCAGGTACCTCAAAGCACACAGCAGTCTGACTGTGGGCACTATGGCAACCACTGCTCAGTATCACAGCCTCAAAAACCTTGCTCAGAGTTCAGAGTAAGAGCTGATTCTACATTAAGCTGCCACAATGCCAGTAATCAGCCAATACTGGCATCCTTCACAAAACAACCCTTAAAAATACATCCTTCTTTGTGCTTACTAGAGAGCTACAGGAATTAGGCTTTGTCTTCATATTCAAACTGTTAGGAAAAATCATCTCTTGTCCCAAAACGTCTCTCCCAAAGAAATGCACACCATTTATATAATTCTTCTGGAGACACTTTCTAGAATTAGCCAACAAAAGGCAAAAGTAGCTACAGTCTTTATCCCTTTCTGATCTAAAGGCCAAACTCTGTTCCTCACTGGAAACACATAAAACTACTCTCTGTGTGTTTGTTTTTGAGGAGTGTTTGGTTTTTAAAAGGATTTTTTTTTTTAAAATGTGGTGATAGGAAGATTTCATTTATATAGGACAAAGCTCACTCTGGAGTGGTTTTGCAAGTGCAATTTCTCAGCCAGAAAGAACCCGGTTGATGACTTCCTTCCTTCCTCCTCCGCAGAGTCCTCCTGGGGCTGACAGGAGTGCAGCACCTCAGCCCACAGCTGGGTGCTGCCCATCAGAACCACAGACCGGAACCGTGGACCGGAACCGCGGACTAGAACCATGGATCGGAATCATGATCCACTGCTGTCCTCCTGCCTCCCCCACCCGCGGGGCCAGGACAGCTCCTGACACCCCTGGGTACACCCGTCGCCCCACTCCTGCCCCTCCACAAATGGGACACAAGTCAGACTTACAGGGGCCCAGGGGAGGAGCTGATGCAGCAAAACTGTTTGATACATTTCAGAGTCTATTTAATGGATGTGCAAATGCACTTTTTTTAAAAACAAGATGATAATTTATTTTTATATAAATATATGTGTCACGTTATTACCGTTCCAGGAAGCAGGCAATGATGTACAGTTCACTTGGGCTTTTTAAACTTCGGAGACGTGTTTATTTTATTTAGGTCATGACCTCAATAAAGCAAAAAATAACCAGTCTGAGGCTATTTTCAGGAGAAAAAAATCCCTGAGTATGCTAGGGAGACTTTTCAGACCACATTATTTTACTTCCAATTTTACAAAGATTAAAACAGTTCTCTATATTTTGATCTATATACTCCTGAAGAGGATTAAAGCACTGAAAGCAAAAAGCTTCAGAAACGTTTCTAATCAGTGGCATTAAAAATATCAGCTACATTAATCTACCTTTTATAATGTAGATATATTTGTTTATAAAAAATATTAATTTGCATTTGAAGTTACCACTATTTTTAAATGAAGTTAAGAATTAAAATAGATTGAAAGAATATTTCACGTCCTAAGAGAACCTAAATCCAAAACAATGTGTTTTCCCAGCACATTCTGGTTTATGTATTATCATTCCTATTCTCAGTCCCTATGTATGTCTCCAGCAGGATGCATCACCAACTGCTGCAATTCTATATCACAAAGCACAACATTCCTTTTGCAAACAACTGAGAAAAAAACACTGTCAGATAATTTTAAATTCTGCATTTGTAGATTTTATCGTTAGCACAACTTTGAGATATTTTGTAGAACCTTAAATTTAGAGTGTACCCCCAAGCAAAACAGTACCATAGTAGTTCAGTTAACATCCAAAAAGGCATTAAATCAAAACAGAACTGTAAGACGGCTTCAGAAAAAGCCATTAAAGCCCCTATTAGAGTATGAGTTAAAAAAATATCATAATCCAGTAATTTTACAAAATAAATCAAGAGCCTGTCATATTTGGGAAAAGAAAAATTATTTTTTTCTTATTCAAAATACTATGTTTAATTTCCAATCACATCCTCTAACCCCAAAACCTGCTTTTTGCCTTTCAACAGTTCTGTTCCTGCCTGTTCTGAACAAACCAATTATCCCACCTAACACCAATATTTGTGCCTATCAACTACTAAATAAATTCTACTTTCTTTAAATCTACAGCAAATTCTTGATTATAAGGCTTTTTTGGCACACTCAATCCATTTTCATATTAACTAAATACGAACAATCAACTCAGTTCAGCCAATCTAGGAATTGCTTTATTTTCTCCTCACAGAAAACATGAATTTTAGATATGTTCTCATCATTAGAACATGTGCACTTTTACTGCCATAGTACCTTAATCACCCCAGAATATCTCCAGCTTTTCAGGTTCAATGAACTATTCAAACAGATTTTAAAAAAAGCAAGCAACCAAAGAAACAAACAAACCAGATTTCTTAAAACTTCCATGCATGTTGTTTCCTTTAAAATACATCTACTCACAGATTGCAAATGATGGTAAAACTAATATCTGAAATTATTTTAATGTGTTACATTAATCAATGACGCTTCATTATCATAAGCCCTGATTAGGTCTCATCATGTAAGTACACTGAAGTGGCTTTTCAAAATTATAGAAAAGTGGAAAGGGAAAGGAGAAATTATCATTTAGGCCAAATCAAGCTTGAAATACATAATTTTTATTGTGTTGCTTATGCTGTATATTTTCCTCCTCTCTAGACATCAGTCCCAAATTTTTTATTCTGCATTAAAAGATATGTTTTCAGTCCTTATGCTGAAATCAAATGCTGATATTTCTTTTATGTTCCCCAAACTGAAGTACTTTCAACTATGTTATGAAGCTATAGGATGAGAATGGGAAGAATTAATAAGAATTCAAATTGATAGTAATCTCCACAGACATCCAAGTTCAGGGAGTGGGGTTTTGTTTGATTGTTTACTTCCTTCGAAAGTCTCTCTCTCATATGTGTGAAGTATAATTTAAAATACTCAGATCTACACAGTTAGCTCTTGCCCTGCTACCACTGCTTAGTCTTAATTCACCCCAGTGTCTCAGCCAAGGCAAGCAGGAAGTTGAAGGCTCCCACTATCACCAACCTGAAGAGGAAGGAAACTGCAAAACCTCAGAGCCCAAAAGACAAACACATTACTATCTGAACGATCCAGTTCTTCCCCAATGGCAATTATTCTATTTTCTACATCAATGAACTCCTGCACTGTAACACAAATTCACCCAAAAGGGAATTCACCCTTCTAATTTCTAGACACACAAAGAGCAAAAGGTACTTATAGCGTTTACATAGGCAAAGGTAAGATCCAAAACTAAGGTTGTTCTCCCAAAGCAAGATCAGAAGATCATGAAAAATGCTTCTTAGATCTGGGCCAGGAAGCCCATATGATTATGGGCTTTTTATTTGGCCAACATGTAAATCTCATATGGGAATTCCAAGGACAGACACCACAAAATTTCGCACAGCTTCCAACAGGATTCTTCCTAGGTGATCTACCACAAAAAAAATCAGGGTTATAACAGCCATGACTTGGAAGCAGAAGCATAAGAATTCTTCTCATCTCCACACAACACAAAGAACTGCCAGAAGGTCTCCATGTACACCTCTGAGGCAGCAGCTCAGGCCAGTCCAAAACCAAGTGTGAAGTGTTTTTACATCATCTAACATGAACTCAGTTACAGCAACTCAATCACAACTGTCACTGCAAGATACCTTTCTAGTTTCTAGCCCACACCAGAGCCATATGCAATCTAGCAGAGGACAAACATATCTAGTACCCAATCAGTATCTACCAAGTCTTCATCAAATCTCTAATCTTAGATTAACCCATCCTGCACTCCTTCTACCAACCATAAATGGAAATTCAGGCAAACATTTTTCAAACATCTAGGGGAAGCCAACCAGCACCTACCACTCCCCACAGTGCACAGCCTTCAACACTCCCACAGCAGCTGTAGTCTGTCGTTCAAAGCCTTGTCCTATGTGATCTGCATGGGCTCGTGTCCGGTCTTCAAATAGCATTTCACGGGGTTCACTGGTTCGAGGTAGGTACTGCAAGTTTTTTATTTCATTGGTAGTTCTGTGTAAGAAAAAACAGTAACAGTGATACAGAAATTTCTCTGAATTATCTTATTTCCACCATAGTCAATAGGATTGGTTTTCTCCCTTCAGTGAGAACATAGGAGTTAAGTGAGAAAAACAGTAACTGTTAAGACAAATTAAAAATGTAATGAGCTATGCAAAGAATCAGAACACCTATTTCAATTAAAAAAAAAAAAAAAAAGGACAAAAAACCCAACCAACACAAATAAAGTGTCATGTTCCAAAGTGGACTAAAAGGCCTTAATGACTGAGCAGCATCACTCACAGTCTCCACACACAAACACAAAGAGCCCCAGAGCTCTATGTAAGCTCAGACTTGGACCCTCAGTCCTGGTCTGTGCCACGCTGCAGGACCACTGGTCTCCATCTCAGCCAGAAGTGTGCTGGGCCAGAGACTTGCTTCTCAGCTTGTCCTCAGGACAGCTTTGTCATGATGCACCTACCTGGCAATCTCTGGACCTGATCCTCCCTGGCAGACTGACTTCCTGGCTTGATCTCAGACCTGCCCCATCACCACACACTTGCCCGACACACTGGAGTCTGGGCTGAATCTCGTCCCCAAATCCCATGTCTGCCCTACCTGCTTTCCTCAGGCACTGCGAGGCCATGGTCAGGAAACTGCCAGCCTGACTATTACTTAGAGATTTCAATTATCCCTGAGATCTTTCTTAATCATTCATGTTTCTACCAAACTGCTGGAAAAACGTGTATTTAGTTCCATGTTGAAGAACTTGGTATGAGAAACAGCAAAGGATTATTTCTTCAGGGTTTAACAGAAGTGAAGGAAACACTGCAGAGTGAGAATAGAGACACAAGACCATCTCTTTGGCCACCTGGAGCCAACACTGTGTGACACATTTTTTCCAAGAGTTGTTTATAATCATAACATAGCAAAGGTTGGAGACTCTCTAGTCCAACTTCCTCCACTCAAACAGAGCAATTTGCTTGGCCCTGTCCAGTCAAGTTTTGAGCAAGACCATGATTCCACAAGCTCTCTAGGCAACCTGCCCTAGTGCTCAACTATCCATACAGTACACTTTTTTTCCTTATTTTAAATGGATTTTCTTGTAATTCAGTTTGTGTCCACTATCTCTGGTCCTGTCCTGGGAACTACTGGATCATGTCTTTCTTACAACCTCCTATGAAATGCTTATACACATTGATATGAACCCACTGAGCATTCTTTTCTCAAGAGTAAATCCCAGTTCTCCCAGGTCACCAGATATGCTCCAGTATGGCCGTATCTGTCTAGGCCTGGTGTGCTCAGGGCTGGGCACAATACTCCAGACACGTCTCACCAGTGATGAGCAGAGGGGCAGAACCCTCTCCCTCAACCTGCTGGCAGTGCTTTTCCTAATCCTGTCAAGGAGGCTGCTGCTTGGCTTTGTTACAAAAGCACACTGATGGCTTATGGTCAATCTGTCCCCCACCAGCCCCACAAGTCCTGCTCTGTTGGGCTGCTGTCCCGCAGCTGGTCCCAGCCTGTGCTGGATCATGGGATTATTCCTCTCAGGTGCAGGACTTTGCCCATCCCTTTTAACTTCCTGAGTCTCCTGGAGTTGGCTCATTTCTACACCCTCTCAAGGTCCTCAGCACAGCAACTCCTCCTTCCAGTTTTGTATCACCTGCAACTTGCTGAGGGTGTGCTCTGTCTCATGAAGCCATTAATGAAGATGCTGAACAATACTGGCACAAGGTACCAAGGCTTGAATTACTCCCGTAGCAACTGCTTTTCAGTTGGACTTGGTGTTGCTGCCCACAACCCTTTCAGCACAGCAGTGAAGCCAGTTCTTGGCCCACTTCACTTACCTATCAGTCTAGTTTGTCCTTTGTTAACCTATTAGGACATTATGAGAGTCAAGTGTCTGCTGTGGAAAGCCTTGATAAATTTGAGACAAACAACACCCCTGGCACACACCCTGTGAGCCAATCATTTTGTTGTAGATCAGGTGGATAAGGCATAATTTCCCCTTTGTTAATCAATACTAACAATTCCCGACTATTATCTTGTACCTCATGCTTGAAATGGCATCTTTCCCAGGATGAAGGTGAGACTGACTGGCCTGCAGTTCCTCAAGTTCTGCTTCTTATCTTTCTAAATGACTAGAGCGACACTTGCTTTCCTCCAGTCCTCAGGAACCTTTGCCAATTGCCATGACCTTTCAGAGTGGCCTTGCAATGACACTGGCCAGCTCCCACGGCACTTGTGGATACAACCCAGCAGGTCCCATGGACTTGTGTCTGTCTAATCTCCATGTCTAACACGTTCCTTAACCTGATTTTCCTACACTGAAGGCAAGTAGTCCTGGCTCCAGACATTACTACTGTCTCCCAGGACCTGGCATTCCTGAAAGTAAATCTCCCCAGGAAAGACAAAGGTAAAGAAAGCCTTAAGTATCTTGGCCTCTTCTGCATCCTTTGTCTCCAAGCCCTTTACCCTGTTCAGCAAACACCTTACATTTTCCTAGTTTTTCTTCTACTGTCCATATGCCTGTACAAGTCCTTTCTGCTCTTCATATCCCTTGTGAAATTCAACTCCAAATGGTCTTTGGCTTTAACTGCATCCCCTTCATGGCTGGACAGTGTTTCTATACTCCTTCTGAGGCACCTGACCCTGCTTCCACTTCTCACAGCTCTCTTGTTGTGTTTGAATTTCAAACAGGAGAACTCCCATGACAATTCCTCATGACACACAATATTCAAGTTCTGCAGAGGTTGTCTCTACTCTTCAGGTGTTACTTAATACCCCAGTTTAAAGATGCCACTTAATGTTGGAGTTACTACCTTTTAGGTGAAAGAGAAGCCCTTGTCCCTTGAGGTCATAAATCATCTGCTCACATTTAACGACAGGGATATCAATTCCAGTTACAAGGCATGCATCAGTAATTGTATGGTTGTTCACATTTCCCTGAAGTTTTCAGCTTAAAATTCTATTAAAGCTCCAAAAAGGACCAGAACCTTACTTGGCCAGACAGTAAAAATTAATAATCCAGATCCTTACATAACCAAACAATTTAAAAGTATATTTGGAGATGAAGATTTACAGAGATTTATATTAAGATTCAGTATCAATCAGTTAAAGCTTTGGGATAAAATGAATTTGTAGAGGAAGAATACTAACCAGATATTTATCAAGTAAGATAATTCAACTTACCTCTTCCTTTTGAAAGGTGACTTTGGCATGTCAGCCACAGGGATCATTTGTTCTCCTGGACGTACCCACATAATGGGACCATCATCACTGTCTTTACGACTCTCTAATTTTAAACTAGAAAGTGTTCCCCATGGCAGTGTACACTAATGGGAAATACAAGCCACAATTTTGAAGTGAGTTACTTTAAAAACTTTTTAAAAGCAGCCGTTATCTGTCACGATGAAAACATTTATGAGAACGCTCAGTTATCTAAGCAAGTATCACATAGTCTCACTTTTATAAACAGCACTAGACAGCATATTGTCCCCCTTCTCCCAACCCATTCCCTTCTGTCCTTACTTTTAAGAAGGGTGATTCTTCCAACATATCAAGGAATTCAGGGAAGTAATCCCCCACTTCCTCATCAACTGCTCCAACCAGGCTGATCTGTCTCATTGGGCCAGCTCTATACGTACCATGAGAGTATGTTCTTTTTACCTACAAGTAGAATATGACAACAGAAGTTATACAACTACTGTGCAAAATCTACATTCAATAAACACCTTCAATCTCTATGCTTATGTTTGTTTTCTACTGACATCAGTCTTCAGTATACTTAAGATTATTATGAAGTCAATTACTATGAACTCAAAGACAGAAATTCTCCTTAAACATCTATGACATCTTGTATTTTATTTTAAAACCTGAAGATAAACCAGAGTAACTATTTATTGTCTCTCAAGAAAATAACACTCCAAAACATTAACTGTGAAAAGCTATCAATGTATGTTCTGCTCAGTAACTAATACATAAGGATTCTTACCTGGATTACTCAAGTCTAGCTGAATTTTTACCTTTTTGCTGTAACAGGTAGAACTCTGAGTTACAACTAATTTAACTCTAAATATTTCCTCTGCTAATCATGCTCTCCAGTATGGCCTCTGTGTGAGCACATTAACTGGAGCTCATTATCACAGTAAAGACAAGGCTCATAAAGAGTTTGTATGGGAAGAGAGACAATGATGCTCATTTTTGCTGCGCTAACACATCTTGTGCTCCCTTCAGACTTTAAGGGCTGTAACATTCACCTCTCATGAGAAATCTTCTACTGTGAATTTGAACACAAACACATATTATTGTGAAGTTTTTTTCAACAATTTGATCTGTTGTGTTAGATCACCAAAATACTTAGGCATGAGATTGATGAGAATTATGTCCCCCTAAGCTTCTAATCTCCTGTTTAACAGGCTGAGAGACACAGTGGTGTAATGAGGTGAAATATGATGAGATCAAAACAGAGGGAAGAGCAGATGGATTACTGCACACACCAAGTAAGGCTCCTGTACTGCACCTCTAGACATTCTGCATCGAAAGCAAGAAAAGAAAAAAAGTGCAAAGAAAACAGCTAATGAAATACTGTTTAGCTATGGTCCTCACCCAGACAGACCATAAAAATTCCTAGTAGTTACAACAGTGCAAAGGAGAATCAGCAGCAGTTCCTGAAAATAAGACTAAATCATGGAACATGCAACAACCCTGTGCTCTCCTTACAAGCTCAAGTGATGTAAGCAGATGCATCCCAGAAATGCAGAACCAAATACTTTTCAGATCCTCTCAGTCATGTCACACACCCAGGAAATGGAGGAGTACTAAAAGTAGGATTTTACAAAATGTCTGAGCTAATGCTCACCACAGACATCACAAGCCATCACAGACAAATGGAAAAAAGCAGTCCTGCTAGACATCAGTATTCCCATATTCCTCAAATCCTTAGTCATACATTCCTGCAGCTTTTTTTGCACAGACAGCTGGTGATTTTGTGATAAGGCATCAGAAAACATTCATTTCTGCCGAATCTGCATCAGCTCAGTCCTCAGCTACATCTCCACTGGTACAAAGCATCAGGAGCTCACACAACTCACAACACTGGGCAAGGAAGGGACACTCATATGTCATTACTGGCTTACGGGATAGATCAGTTCTGAAGAACCCTAAACCCATTTTCTGAAGCTACCGACAGTCACAGATCTGTGACATTTTATTAAAAAAACTTAAATGCAAAAGGACATTTCTTCCACTGGCATAAGTAGCTTAGTATTCCACCATTCCAGGCCAGGATATTAAGCTGCTGTTTTCATCCACACCCTTGCTTAACGAGAACCATTTTTCTGCCTTTTTCCATGCTTCCTTCTGCTACCACTACCATTCTCCCAAGTAACAAGTGACAGATGAGAGGAAATGGCTTCAAGTTGTGCCAGAGGGGGTTAGATTGGATATTAGGAAAAATCTCTTCACCAAAAGGGCTCTCAAGCACTGGAACAGGCTGCCCAGGGAAATGGTTGAGTCACCATCCCTAGAGATATTTAAAAGATGGGTAGATGTGGCATTTAAGTACATGGTTTAATGGTAGATTTGGCAGTGCTGGGTTAACAGTTGGACTCTTAGAAAGGTCCTAAAGGTCTTTTCCAACCTAAATAATTGTATGATTCATGTAGCATATGATAAACTAGTTGTGAAATTACTCCAAGTGAAAACTCTAAAAATTCTCCTAAAAATACTAACTTTAAGTGAAATTTGGAAAAACTGTGAAGCCTCCAGCTATCAACTTACCAATCTGGCTTATGTACCACTAGATGTTGGCAATGAAGCATAAAGTCAGCAAAGTATTGAAACCCAGCATAATGCTTGCTTAAGGTGGATCAATTAAGAACTTCCTTATCTATGCCCCAAAAAAGACCATGTCACTGAAAGTTAGAACTGAAAGACCAACTCAACTTTTTTAAGCATTATTTGTCCATCCCCTTTCACTCCTAGCTCTCCCTGGTCAACTATGCTTCCCTCATTCCCCAGGCACCACAGATTGCTTTTCAAGATCTACCTTAGGAGAGGTGAAATACCAAAATTAATGCTAAGATAATGTCAAAGTTACAAACAATGAGTGGTTTCTTCTGGGACAATGTTCAGAGTTGTACCATTACAAATACAGCCTGAAATGTCTGAGTGCTCAAGAACTCTTTGGTGGCTTAACCCCAGGCAGTACATACTGATCTTACAGCCCCCTGCTCACACACTGCCTGCAATGGTGAGACACGGGAGAGAGTAGGAAGAGCCAGGAAATGCATGGGTCCAGATGAAGACAGTTTATAAAGAGAAGAAAAGAGGAAAGTAAAGAGGAAAAAAACAGCCAGTGGTGTTTTTCACCACTCACTAGCTCTCACAAGCAGAATGACGCCCAGCAGTCCCTGGGCAATAGGTACCTTCCAGCCAATATTTCCCCCTCTTCTAGCATGTGGTCACAAATGAATACACACAAAAATCCCCAAGTAATGCAGTATAATACCATGGACAGGTAAAAGAGATAGAAATATATCAAATAATAAACATGACATCCTAACTTCTTTCTTCTCATACAGCTTAAACTTGAAGTACGTCACCTAAAAAAAAGGAGACCGTGTTGCTCTCTTGCATCACAGTAATGGACTAGTATGGCCTTAACTGATTTTCTAATGTAATAGCAAATATTCTGACAGAAATGTCTTGGTGTCTAACAAGAATCTGAAGACTAAATGTGAATCTACAGATATATAATACTGAAAACAAGATATTTGGGCATTATCATCTTACAAATAAGAAACATTTTAGACATTATATGGTAAAGATGTTTCTATTTTCTGTTTGAAGAAGTCACAAAGTGGAAGGAACAATCCAGAGAAACCAAGCATTTCAAGAGATGAATTTAAAAAACAAACTGGGGCAAGTTACAACTGCATTCCTATTTTTAACATAGTAGGGTTTGGGGGTGCTCTGGTTTGGTTTTTATTTGAGGTTTTTTTCTGTTGAAATTCTATCATTTTCCTGCTAGAATTTTAAAAGGTTTAAATTTATTTCAATTTTTCACATTTAAAACCAAGAAGGTCTGGCAAAACAGTCCTCAGAGTGGAAAAAAAACCCAAACAAAACAACGCCACAAAAAACCAAAACTCCCAACTGAATGCAGAGAAACCTGCAAAGAAAATTCCACCAAAGACCAACAAAAAACCCAAAACCATTAAATCACCATGACAATATGCAAGGACATTGAAGAAATAGAGGGTTTCCATTTCACTACACAAGTGCACAAGCAATGCACTTACATATTTGTATCTCAGAATGGAAAATATCCAATTTCACATTCAGCATAATCTCAGACACTATGGTCATGTAGCATTCTTGTTGATTTGATACATTTTGATCAAGGGCCCAAAAGGCTTCCTGTTCCTTGCCAACTCTTCTCAAATCCTTAATTGATAACATATATTTTTAATTCCAAATGGGAACCAATACCGAACAAATATTCATCAAAATTGCTCTGATTTTAAAAATACTTGCAAATCTGCTTAGCTGCTTTTTACTATTAAATGACATGTACTTCATGCTACTTCCTTTGCCTGCCTTTCTTTTTTTAGGTCAGGGTTTTGTTATCAGGATGGGGTGCCTTGACAGATCTGGCATTGCTCAAAGGTGATCCATTGTCATTGTCACTTTTACCACTGTAGATCATTTATCACCTGACATGTTTTATCTTGCAGCTGAAATACCCAAATAATACCATAGATGGACAGAAGGTTTTAAAAGGAAGATGACCTTGCTTATATTCTGAATTCCAGTGACAAAAAAACCAAACAGTGAAGCAGTCAACAAACAATTTTAAAAAATTAAAAATTAGGGATAGCATCAATTGAATACCTTCATGGAAAACGATCTTGTGAAAGTGAAGTATCTGTTACTGCCCCTGTAGCTCAGGAAGATCCATAACAAGGGTCAGTCTCACATCCTGTCTAAGCTGCCAGCACAAACCTCTGGGGCTTTATTTAGGTTTGAGGTTTGTTAATACAGAATATGTGACTAAAAAGAGCAACATACGACTGTCATCTGGTATTGATTGGTTGAAACTGTCAAGCAGCAATCTAAAAGACGGTTGTTTTCTAAGTGGAAAACAAATGAGCATGTGTCTGATGTCATTCCCTGTGAACTGATTCTTTGTTCAATGGTATTCAATAAGTGAAAACTTTTTTTTGCTTTAAGACAATAAGTTGCCAATATCATCATCTATCAAAAAAGTCTCTTACACGTAGTCTTACAGATTAGTTTTAAAAAACAGATCTTTTTTAGATTTTTTTAGATACAGAATCTTTAAGATTTTTTTAAAGAATAGTTTTTTAAAGAATTTTTTTAGATAAAAAAGAGAATGGGACAATATGTATGCTTTAACAGAGCTAAAATTCAATTTTCCATCATCTAGAAGGAATAAAAAAAAATGAAAGGAGGCTGTATTTTGGAGGACTTGCATAATAGCAAGCAGTTGCTAAAAATGTTACAACTTTTTAATAAACAGCCAAACATCTGAACAGCTTAAAAGCAAGCAACAAATTCTGTTGAAAACCAAAATTCTACTGAAAACTACTGAAGCACAACTCAAAAGACACATAGTTTCAATATAAAAGAATTCTTTCCAGAAC